TGCGATCCAAGAGCTCGTTTACGGATAAGAGCTCTATTGGATCCAGCTGCTCGGCGAATTCCGAGTTGACGTGAAGATTGCTTTCAATGACCCGAGAGGTCATCGTCGAAGCGGTGGCCGAACAGGTGGTCATGAGAAAACCACCTAGCCGGATAGTTTGGCCGGCGGCCAGGGCTCCTTTAGTGATGATACCGTCTTTAAAAACGGGAAGAGGCATCCTTCCTGATCACGACGGCACAGAGGAACTCTCAATGAAAGCACCAATGTCGGTGTCAAAACCGGCGGATCTCGGGTAGGGGGTCCCGAACTGTGCGTCTAGGCAGATGGTAACAGGAGACAAGGGACACAATGTTTTTACCCGGGTTTGGGCCCTCTCGATGGAGGTAAAACCCTACTCCTGCTTGATTGATATTGATGATATGGGTAGTACAAGAGTAGATCTACCACGAGATCAAGGAGGCTAAACCCTAGAAGCTAGCCTATGGTATGATTGTTGTAATGGTTGTTGGTCCTACGGACTAAAACCCTCCGGTTTATATAGACACCGGAGAGGGCTAGGGTTACACAGAGTCGGTTACAATGGTAGGAGATCTACATATCCGTATCGCCAAGCTTGCCTTCCACGCCAAGGAAAGTCCCATCCGGACACGGGACGAAGTCTTCAATCTTGTATCTTCATAGTCTTGGAGTCCGGCCGATGATGATAGTCCGGCTATCCGGACACACCCTAGTCCAGGACTCCCTCAGAGGTGATAAAAGAGCCGTCGTAAAGATTTACATCGGTGCAAGCTTTCACACCGATCCAGATGACTCTAAGTCTCAATCTGGATACATATTGAAAGTGGGAGCAATTAGCTAGAGTAGCTCCGCGCAGAGCATTGTAGACATAGAATATTTGCAAAGTACATACGGATGTGAATGTGACAGACTCGTTGACTAAGCTTCTCTCACGAGCAAAACATGATCACACCTTAGTACTCTTTGGGTGTTAATCACATAGCAATGTGAACTAGATTATTGACTCTAGTAAACCCTTTAGGTGTTGGTCACATAACGATGTGAACAATGGGTGTTAATCATATACAGATATGAATATTGATGTTAAATCACATGGCGATGTGAACTAGATTATTAACTCTAGTGCAAGTGGGAGACTGAAGGAAATATGCCCTAGAGGCAATAATAAAGTTATTATTTATTTCCTTATTTCATGATATATGTTTATTATTCATGCTAGAATTGTATTAACCGGAAACATAATACATGTGTGAATACATAGACAAACATAGTGTCACTAGTATGCCTCTACTTGACTAGCTTGTTGATCAAAGATGGTTATGTTTCCTAACCATAGACATGTGTTGCCATTTGATTAATGGGATCACATCATTAGGAGAATGATGTGATTGACATGACCCATTCCGTTAGCCTAGCACTTGATCATTTAGTATGTTGCTATTGCTTTCTTCATGACTTATACATGTTCCTGTAACTATGAGATTATGCAACTCCCGTTTACCGGAGGAACACTTTGGGTGCTACCAAACATCACAACGTAACTGGGTGATTATAAATGAGTACTACAGGTGTCTCCAAAGGTACATGTTGGGTTGGCGTATTTCGAGATTAGGTTTTGTCACTCCGATTGTCGGAGAGGTATCTCTGGGCCCTCTCGGTAATGCACATCACTTAAGCCTTGCAAGCATTGTAACTAATGAGTTAGTTGCAGGATGATGTATTACGGAACGAGTAAAGAGACTTGCCGGTAACGAGATTGAACTAGGTATTGAGATACCGACGATCGAATCTCAGGCAAGTAACATACCGATGACAAAGGGAATAACGTATGTTGATATGCGGTTTGACCGATAAAGATCTTCGTAGAATATGTGGGAGCCAATATGGGCATCCAGGTCCCGCTATTGGTTATTGACCGGAAACGTGTCTCGGTCATGTCTACATAGTTCTCGAACCCGTAGGGTCCGCACGCTTAAGGTTTCGATGACAGTTTTATTATGAGTTTATGAGTTTTGATGTACCGAAGGAGTTCAGAGTCCCGGATGAGATCGGGGACATGACAAGGAGTCTCGAAATGGTCGAGACGTAAAGATCGATATATTGGACGACTATATTCGGAGTTCGGAAAGGTTCCGAGTGATTCGGGTATTTTTCGGAGTACCGGAGAGTTACGGGAATTCGTATTGGGCCTCAATGAGCCATACGGGAAAGGAGAGAAAGGGCCAAAAGGGTGGCCACACCCCTCCCCTTAGACTAGTCCGAATTGGACTAGGGAGGGGGGGCGCCCCCTTCCTTGCTTCTCCTTCTCTCTTCCCTTTCCTTCTCTCCTACTCCTACTACATGGAAGGGTTCCTAGTTCTACTAGGAAAAGGGGAATCCTACTCCCGGTGGGAGTAGGACTCCCCTAGGGCGCGCCATAGAGAGGGCCGGCCCTCCCCCTCCTCCACTCCTTTATATACGGGGGCAGGGGCCACCCATAGACACACAAGTTGATCTACGGATCGTTCCTTAGCCATGTGCGGTGCCCCCCTCCACCATATTCCACCTCGGTCATATCGTCACGGAGTTTAGGCGAAACCCTGCGCCGGTAGAACATCATCATCGTCACCACGCCGTCGTGCAGACGAAACTCATCCCCGAAGCTTTGCTGGATCGGAGCCCGGGGATCGTCATCGAGCTGAACGTGTGCTGAACTCGGAGGTGCCGTATGTTCGGTGCTTGGATCGGTCGGATCGTGAAGACGTACGACTACATCAACCGCGTTGTGCTAACGCTTCCGCTTACGGTCTACGAGGGTACGTGGACAACACTCTTCCCTCTCGTTGCTATGTCATCACCATGATCTTGCGTGTGCGTAGGATTTTTTTTTGAAATTACTACGTTCCCCTACAATAATGAAGGGATGAAGGGTGCTTTTGGTCCTGTGCACTATCATAGCCCTGTCATCCTTAAATCTGTTCCTCCAAGAGACAAATGAGGGAGAAATCCCCCTGAAGGCATTTCTTTGCTTCCACACCCCCAGGCTGCAATAATAAAAATATCTATAAACATAAGCCCCCTCCAAGCTTCTCGGGCTGCAAGAAGCGTAGAAAATCTGTAGTCTTGGCGTGACCAAGAAAATTTCATGGCATTCCAACAGTCCCTCACAAAAGGACATGTGAAGAACAGGTCTGTGACTGTTTCCTTAAGGGGGTTACGGCAGAGTAGACAACTATAGTTGTTATCAGATAGAACATAGTGGCGTCTTCTCAGTATGTATCTTGTGTTCAGTCCATCCGCCATTAGGAGCCAAGAAAAACTTTCCATTTATTGGTACATTTAGATTTCCATACCCAGACGAAGGCATCATCAACAATCACATGCTTGAAACAAAATTAATAGTATTTTCTTGAAGCAAAAGATTTGTTACCCCAGAGGCACACCCAACCATCCTGAGAAGTACTGCTGGGGTCAATGCCTGTCGTGATTTGCTGCAGGTCTCGAACTTCCTCCCTTGCTTGCAATGAGAGGGGTTGATGAAAGATGTCTCCAAGGGTTGCCGAGTTGAGAAGTTTTTGTATGGAGATGTCTTTGTCCCTACTCCCTAGCATAAGAGAAAGCCCTCGGGTGTGATTCAGCTAGCAGAGCATTGTGCCATACAACCTTCCAGAACAGGGTTGAACCACCATTTCTAACCTCCACTTTAGTCACTCCACTGAACACGTCTGATAATTCCATTAGATCGCGCCACCAAAACGATCCGCAACCATCCGACTCATGCGGGATATCATTGGCATAATGGGTACCTGTTGTAAAGTTTTGAAAACTTGCTTCAGCAATCAGCAGTAGACCCTGGTTCTAGGCTTTCTGATTCATGATCCCAAGACCGCCCTTGTTCTTTGGATGGCAGATCACGTCCCAAGCTGCTAGCAAGTTATGTTTGGGCCCCTCATCTATTTGCTTGTTCCAAAAACAGTGCCTACGAAATATTACCCTCTTCAGTGGAATGTGACACAACTTTCCTCTTCTGAACCAAGTTACCAGTCATCGGTCAGTAGCTCATAATACCGTCTGCATCGGTCGGTAGCGACGGGGATTGAGGTCCATGGTCATAGTTTCGTGGAGATACTGCTACGAGGCTGTCGGATTTCGATGACCTCATGTTTTTATTCTCTTTCTTTTGACAGTTGCAAATGTACATGTTCATAATGTTCATTTTTGTACATGTTGCGCAAAATGACCTCTGTCCGATTATGTCACACAGATCATAATGTACATGTTGCGCAAATGAGTACATGTTGTATGGTGCTAGAAGCACGAGTATTTGATCTAACAACTTAAATCGTCACTTATGACAATTCCAATTTTGAAGTTGCTTAACATGCAGAAAACACAAGTTGCACCACATGGAAAGTACATCACCCAAGGGGAACTACAATTATGTTATGGCTGAAGTATAAATCTGTTACTCTAGGAAGCACAAACGTGTTATCATTGAAAATACAAATTATGTTCAAAAGAACTCCATGGAAACCTATCAACTTCATATCTAGCTTCGAAGATAATTAAAGACACGAGGCTTGTGCGGTGAAAACGTTTTTTAATTTACAAGCTCAGCTTAAGAGATATTTTAATTTTAAAATTTGGATCTTTGCAAAAAAAAAAACTCGCAGACATGACTGACCATTCTCCTGGTACAGTGAGAAAAACGCACCAATACTCTATGTTTTATTCCAAATTTCACTAACAGAGATTGTTAGGAAAAAAAATCACAGCTTCATTCTCTTCTTGTGGATCTTAAATTATTAAATTATTTCAAGAAAAGGATACATCTGAGTGTGTAGGATGATCCAAACGAGAGTAACGGATCACCGACTCACACATATAATAAATCATTAATAGGGTTCCAAGAATTTATGCTGAAATACATACGATCGATTTAATTAAGCATGAGGCGGAAATTCTTGAAAGGAACAAATGACTAGTCGTATGCGTGCATGTAGCTAGACGGGGATGGGCTTGACGAAGAGGCTCTTGATAATGCCGTCAAGATGCGTGCTGAATGTGAAGGCATCTTTCCTATCACCATAGTACAGCGGCAGGCTGAGACTAAAGTTGATAACCCGTTGCACCACCGGGAACAGGTCACGGCGATGCTCAAATCGAGCTTGGTTGGTGGTCTTCCATTCATCTTCTATCATCGAGTCGATTACAGCAAAGGCGACCTTGTCTGTAACCTTATGCTCACTGATGTAGCAATCCACACAGTTGGCCACGTCCCCCCTATTGTTCCGGTGCTGCATTCATGCAAATAAAGATTTAATTATTTTATGAAGTTGATGCGCTCTTCATAAACCAAATAAAAAAAGAAGTTGATGCTGGGTCTAACTTTTGTCGGCTAAATCTATGTTCAGACAATAGATATATGTATTCATTGTCTGTGGCAGAATATATAGAGTATATGTATGCATATCACAAATATTATGAGGTCTTTAAAACACATGTGGGCAAACTAATGAAATAAGCTTATATTGTATGCATATCACAAATATTATGTATAACCTTTATCCCAAATCTTTAAATTTTGCCATGCCAATTTTCAGTGGTCGTATTATTGTTGATAACAGTAAAACTGCCTCTGCAATTTGCTTGTCTATGGGTTCACTTCCCCATTGGTCTTTAGGTATCTGATATTTTTTTCTTCCAATTGCCACAACATTTCATCATTTCTTCTGGAATATCAATGCAAAAATCCATTAATTTACGTACTAATGCAGATGCTTTTATCTATGTTTTGGACCGATTATTCCATTAATTTACTAATATGTTTTTTGATAAAGTTATTCTAATTTGCAATTATCCTAACTTTGATATATATGGTTCACTTTAATCAAAGCTCAATCCTGCAGTGCATTGTGACAATAAGGAGAAGCCCCCAGTACTTAGTTTGAGCTCTGATCTTCCTTAGTATTATTGGACGGTTACGTGTAGAAATAATCATCCATATTTAAAAAATATTTCTGATGCCGTAACCTCACTAAAATGCATGCCCATACCTAGTATATCTATTCATATACTAATTAGAGCTTCCTAAAAACAAAATGTTAATCTGATTGAATTAAACAATAATAACTACCCCTCTTCCATTATTCCAAGTTGTATTGTTCATATTGCCTACAAAAGAAACTGCTCTTCCTTCATTTATCGTTTCCCTATAGCTATTTTATCGTTTGTCGGTTACAAAAGAAGCATTCTTCTTGATCTTCCCCTTTTTTCTGCAACACAAAGTTCGGTCTATTCTTCTCCGCGATATAAGTAACTGTGGTCTTGATGATATTTTGACTTTCATTTCATTTTGATGGTGTTATAATTCTAATCAAATTGGGAATCAATGTCTTCTGTCATAGCAAAGAATTATTTTTCACAAGTGCTATGTAGCCACTCTCTATGACCCCTTGATATTACTAATAGAAAATTGAGTGAAGATTAATTATGGTTAACTGAGATTCGTACCACTAAAATTGTATTCTTTTCTAACCTTGGTAAGCTTCCCACGGTTTTTGTATTTGTGTCCCTTTCCTTCACAATGTTGGGAACCATAGAGATATTTTTATTCATTTATTTTGGATATGGAGATTGCATCTTTCAATGCTATACCTTTCTGATTTACAAACAATTTATTTTCTAGAGTTTTATGTTGAAGGACCAGCTTGTGCATTTTCTTGAAATTTATGGATTAACTAAAGTGTGTATAGATAAATCATCAAAGTTCCTTACGTACTTTTCCCATTAAGATTCCAAAACCAGAGGTCCGATTGTCACTTTATTTCTCCTATCACACTACTCCAGTATGAATTCAATAGATATGGCATTCCTGATGTTTCTTCCCATGCCACTGCCTAAGCTGGTAGTTTATTCCATTTTCTGAGGGAAAACTCCAAATTTTTGGCATGGTTAGCTTGGGTCAGAATATTTTTTAAGATAGTTGAGTTGCTATTATATTCATCGCTAGATATTTTATTTTGGGCATAGTATTACGAGTTTTCTCTATAAAAGGTCTATTGTCATTTGGTGACCATGCTATATTTTTCAGGATTAACCGTGTTTCCAGTGCAGAGTGATAGATACTCTTATATAGCTAGTCCATGTGAATGCACGGTTTCGGGGCTAGTAATTCTAATTTTGTAAATGTTGAGAGCATTCATAGAAAATAATAATCACATCAACATTTTAAATCTATATAGCATCAGGACCATCACAAAATAAAATTCAGTTATTTGGTGTTATAGGCGTAGATATTGTTTCGATAAACTTGATCAAACTTTGCGACCTTCAACTTATGACATGTTCTCAAGCGAAGGGATTGTGGTCATGATCTAATAAATACTTGAGTATGCTAGTACTAGTATGCCGTGGATCGTATTCGAATCAGCGTCATTAAACAACTCTTATGGTCACTTGGGGGCTTCCTGTTCAAGCATAGGTCGTATTCGAACCAAAGAGAACATAGCTGTCGATACCCACTTGATCGGCATCGCCAAACCCACTGGTGGCTATATGATCGTATCCGAATCTTAGCTTAACCCCTTTGGAATGGTTTACTGATCGTATTCGAATCAGAAGCCTTTATTTATTATCCGTTATATTTCATAAGCATAATTATTTGACTATCTTGAGACCTTTTTGAAAACACTATGAGATGGTTTTTTGTTCTTCCGACTTAATATTGATCACCCCAGGTTGTTAAGTGCCAGGTGAACATTATATGTTCCAACTTTCAGGAGTTGAATTTACCCGCAGGGTGTAGGTCATATAAGCAGACGAGATTACCAAAGGGTTCGCGGGTATGCTATTGTGATTATGTTTAAACAAATATAATCATAAACCGGCCTCTATATGATGTTTTGGTTCGCACTTTGGGTTATCAATACCTTATGTGACCCCCGATGCGATAAACCGCCAAGGGAATTTTGCTTGTTTATATGCAGGATAAGGCAAGCAAATGTAACATCAAGGAAATGAAAGATCAACATAAGGTGGAAATATATAGTGATGGCGGCTTATGAAAGTATTAAGCGCCATAAACATGCGCGAAGGCATGACAAAATTGAGAGGTTTTTTCTACCCTATTACAAGACTCCGAGAGTCTGAATAATGAAGCATTGTTTTGCAAAGTCATAAACGCCTGGCGGTTCACTCCTTTGGTGGGCTTGAAGATTCGGGGTTATCCTTCTCCGCCTCTCCGTCGGTTGCCCTGTCCTGGAAGGTTGACGAGGCCCAGTCAATGCCACTCAAGGCTTCAAACTCAGCTTCATCATCTATTAAACCGACTGGGCCCACTTCAGGGGCAAAGGTATGCTTACGAGTTGGAGGGATCAGGCTGACTTGATCATAAGGAGGTGTTGGAATTCTCCGGTTCTCACTGTCATAGCCCGACTGATACTTGGTAAGGTCAGTGTCGTTCCCAATGAGAGTAGCCACGGGGCGTATGTCTTTGACGCAGGCGGTGACATCCTGTTCATCAAATACGGTCCCATCCTCTTTCAGACTCGGGTATCCAAGAGCGAGGTCGGCCGGGTCTAGTTCTGGAATCCTTGCCTTTGCCCAGCTCAACGCGGCTACGGCCCCGGCTCTTGAGGACGCCCGCCTTAGATATTGGACCCGTTGAGGTAGTATAGCAAGACACTTCAGCACGTCTTGCAGGAGGTGGGGAGTGTTATTTGATAAAGCTACAACGGCCAAAGCACGTTGTGACCCGGTGTACAGTTGCTCCACTAGGGTGTAAACCGCTTTTAGTTTGGTCAACATGCTCTGCTTGAGGTTTGTGCTCCTGGGGCCAGCGTTCACAAGCATAAGGTGAGCTGGAGATAACAATTAAAATAGTCATCAAAGGAAAGATTACAATATTGGAGGTTATATAGAGTAACTTACCGAAGATAGCTGAGACCATTTGAGATATCTGGCGCTTTAAGCCGGACAGCTCGGCTGTTGCTTCGGCAAGTGATGCCTCTGCCGTCTCGGCCTGGGTCACCAGGGAAACCTTTTCATCAGCCTAGATTTTCTTCTCCGCCTCAAAATTCTTCTTCAACTTCTCCTGTTCAGAGACGCTGAATTCTAATTTGGAGTTGGCCTTTTGAATTTCAAGTTCTTGAGCTGTCAGACGGCTCTTCAGGTCAGCAATCTCCGACTCAAATTTACTTATGGTGGCCTGCATTAATGTCGGGTTATAGTTAGAATCATGGTAAGATAACATTAAGTCCCAAGCACTTTGCAAGCAAAGATACTTGACACTTGGGGGCTAATGTATGCTGAGGAATTTTAACTTACAATGCCGGTTCATGCAAATTAAGTCCCAAGCACTTTGCAAGCAAAGATACTTGACACTTGGGGGCTAATGTGTATCGCAAGTTCAAGGTATCATGTTACAACCGGGTTAAATATCTTCTTTCTAAACCAGACAAAGCAGTGATAAGTAGTTTTCTAAGTCTACAGCATACTTATTCATAAGCAATAGACTTGGGGGCTGATACAGTAAGTATGGTTCAGGAAAGTAGCATAAGTCATACCTCAGATTTTTGCTGTATTTGCTTCACCATGTCAATTTCCAGGTCACGCTGCTATGTACTTGGTTGAGATAGCCAGAGACTATATCTCCAATGCTTAAATGAGTATAGTCAACAATGTCTAGCTTGGCTTTTCGGCGTTCTAGAAGTTCCTCCTTAGCAGAGCACTTGGCAAGGACAGTGGGCCGCCCTGGCTCAACAAACTGAGTCTTCAGAATCTTAACTTCCAGATCAATTTTCTTGGCCGGGCTAGGAGCTTCCGGGTTATCAGAGCTGTTGAGAGTATGTTCGGCGGGTGAATCTGAGGTTGGTGCTGGAATGTCATAGGCTGGTTTAGGCCGCGGCTGATGGGTAGAACTGTCAGGAGCAGTCGTACCAAGCTCCGGTTCAATCACGACCGGGTTTTGGGATGGCTTACTCTTTTTTGCCCTCTTACTGGGCTTCACTTGCATGCTGTGGACAATGGCAGAAGGATGAATACAAAGCATGGCTAAGGTAAAGCATAAGGTAAACGAAATTACATTACCCGGGGGCAGTTTTGAAAGCCGGCATGTTAGATTGCATAGACTCACCGGAGGAAGTAGAGGTATCCTGATAATTAGAGTCAGATGAATTGAGAGGTTGGCGAATTAAACCTG